ACGCTCAAGGCGGCAGCCCAGCCCGGAACCTGTCAGCAGGGCAGGGGCCTGGCAGTGGGCCCACTCCTGTGCTCTGCCCGTGCCCCTCCGCCCACCCCGGGAGGCCAGGCCCGAAGAGCGGATGCTCCCTGAGCGGGCGCCGGCCACAGCACTGTGACTCTCGCAGCCGGGCCTGAGCGGAAAAGTCGCGTCTCAGGCCCTCCGGATGTCCTGCCGGCTATAGGTTTGCGGCGTCAGTGGCCAGTGCCATGGGTCAGTCTTGGCTCTCCTGGGGAACGCACAGACACAATTTTCTGCGTCAGAAATCACTGACGCCCGCGTCTCACTCTTGAAGCTGTAGCCCCAAATGCTGCGTCTCTGGAGTCCCCGAAGCAGTTCCCGCCAGCACAGGCAGGGATGGGCACAGGGCGGCCTCCTGGGGGGAGGTCCCGTGGGGTCCCTGTGGGCGTCCTAGTGCTCGGCGCCTTGGACAAGTGGCCTGGCGCCTGCCCCTCAAGCCCTGGCTCCCTCCTGGAGGAGTGGACAAGCTGGCCTGGGGGCCCGACTGCCGTGTGGGAGCCGTGCATGGTGCCCTGGCCACAGAGGTTGAAGCCACGGAGGCTGGTGCTGTGGTGACCTCGGACTGACACTGGCTGACAGTGCCCTCGGTTGGCCTTGCGGCCAACCCCGGACGCAACCATGACTGACTCTGGCTTGACACTGTGGCCACGGCTGGGATTGGTACCAGGGCTGGCCATGGGGCTGACGCTGTCACTGACTCTGGTGGCCGTCGTGGCTGATGCCACAACCGACACTAACTGTGCCGTGGCTGGTGCCGCCCCTCCCAGTTCTGGGGTGGCGCGTCCCTCTTCTGCTCACTCGCTGGGCGTCTCTGGCCGCTACCCTAGGCCGGGCTTGATGTGGGAGCCACATCATGGCCAGAGCTGGGTGAACGGGATCGTGAATGTTTCAAGAAAGAAAAATGTGCTCAGGCCGGAACCCCGGGGTGGGGTCTGCATCTCGGTGCCCTTCCGGGGTGTCGCCACGCCCCCCAACCCCCACCCCCACCATCCACCTGCACTGTGGGCCCAGAGGGGCCCGCTCATGCCACAGGTGCCTCTCTGTCCCGCACACACCGCGGGATTCCGAGCCCAGCCCTGGAGCACACTGCCCAGCGTGTGTGAGTGGAGTGTGTGAGGGCAGTGAGTGGAGAGGTGTGGCGTGTCCAAGGACACGCCGGCTTAGACCCACAGATGCCTCCGCCCTGGCATCTGTGCCCTTCCCGGGAAGGTGGTCCCGGGGCCGTGAGGCTGTGGTCTGGTCTTGTGCCACGCTCCTCGAAGAGCCCCGGCCCTGTGGTCCCGGCAACTCCCCGGAGATGGGGTCTGCTCTGTGGCTCGTTTGACAGGTCAGAGCGGAAGTGGCCCTGGCTTTGGGGCAGCAGAGACAGCAAAGCCGCCAGGGAAGCCATCTCCCCGGCGGGGTGGGGGGCTGGCGCTCGGGTGAGCTTCTCCCACCTCTCAGCGGGGCGCGCGTGGCTCTCACTTCCCGCGTCGCGATGACTTTCTTCCCCTTCGTAAGGGTGGTCAGCGAGAGGCTGCGCCTGCAGGAGACCCCACGGGGCCCCGGGGTGGGGGGTGACGTGGCTCCTCCACGCGTGGCCCAGCACCGTGACCCCAGCGGCGGGTTCAATGCAGGAGTCAGGCGGGGGTCCTGCCCCAGCATGGGGAGACCCGCAAGCCCCCGGGGGTGCCATGCTTCTGCAGAGCTGTGGGAGGGGGCGGTGGAGGCGCCCACAGGGCAGGGCTCAGGACAGTGGCCTGGGCACTGCCGGACGAGTCGTGCTGGGTCCAGCGGGTGGCCCGTGGGCGGCCGGGCTGTGTCCCTTTCTGCTCTCCTGGACGCAGGCACCGCAAGACTCCGCTAAGTGGGGCTTTTCAGAGGAAAGGGAAAAGGGAAGCAGGGATGAGGCCACCTCCTGAGTATGCTGCTGAGACAGCGACCAGTGGTCTGAGGTGTGTGTGTGTGTGTGTGTGTGTGTGTGTGTGTGTGTGTGTGTGTCCCTGGGCTCAGCGGACAGCAATCTGAGTGTGTGGTCCTACTGTGCTTGGCACTTAGGGGTGTGTCTCTGTGTGTGTGTGTGTGTGTGTGTGTGTGTGTGTGTGTGTGTGTGTGTGTGTCCCTCCATGCTCCGTGTCCAATGATCTACGTTTGTGCCTGTGTGTCTGTCCCTGTCTGCATGTGTCTGTGTGTCTGCGTGACTCTTCGTAGAGGGCACTAGGTTTTATTTTTAAATAGCTTTATTCTAAGACGGTTACTCAAGAGGGATGAAAGAGGCTGAGAGACAGACAGACAGATGTGTGCAGGAGGGAACACAGGCTTCGGCAGGGGGAAGCTGAGCGTCTGTGTCTCGGCTGAGAAACGAGCCAGTCTCCAGCGTGAGGAAGAGCCCAAGCAGAAGAGCTTAAGAACTCGCCGGAGGGGCGGGACCCACTGGCTGAACCCCCAGCCTTGCCCGCGTGAGGCCTCAGAGTTTAATCCCTGGTGCCACCTCGTGAGACACGCATGACTGCGACCCGGGGTGTGCCCCCCAGGGTTGTGCACAGCCTAGCAGGTGCACAGGAGAGAGAGTGAGTCCACAGCGAGGGCATGGCCCAGCCGCATCACAGCCAGTCCTGGGGCAGCACTTGGGGGAGGGGCGGGGGGGGCACGAGACCTGGCGGCGTCCCTGGGCGAGGGGAAGCGTGGCTCTCCGCTGGGGCGTCAGACACCCACAGTGCAAGAGGCATCCCGCTTCCTCTCAGCCCGGCCCTGGCTGCAGTGCCACACCCTCGCACCCACGTCTGTCCTACCGATTGGTGGTGCCGTGGTGCCAGACCCCACCCCGGAAGCAGAGGGCTCCACTTCGACACTTGCTGCGTGAGTCGAGTCCGTATGCGTCTCGAGTGGACACACCTTCCTCTAGGTCAGGGCTAGCCCCAAGCAGGGTGGCGGGTCATGCAAGAAGCGGCATCAGTTTCCTTCTCTTCTTGCCTGCGCCCGTGGGACCCCCCGCAGCCTCTGAACTGCTCTCTGGGCCCCCCCAGCGACGCTCAGGGCTGACCCCTGGCCCTGCACTCCTGGTGGCCTGGGGGATCGAACCCGGGTGGGCCGCCCTACTGCCGTGCTATCTCTCCAGCCCAGGATATCTTTTAAAACATTTTAAAATGTTAGCGAAAATAGAATAGGTTGGCAGAATCCTATCTTGGCTAGACCTTGAGGAAAGTCTGACTGGGACTTGGTTCATTGCACTTTTTAGAGAGGACTTGAGTCACCCACAGTGCCCCTCACTTGCCCCTTTGCTGGACAGTTTCCACCGAAGAAGAAAATCGCGTTTGGTCAAACATGGGGAGAAAAGTGTTGTCCTAGCACTTCCTTTCCTGGCCTCCTCGGTGCCACTGGCCCAGAGCTCCCACTGCAGAGTGACCGGGTGCTGGCTGGCCTGGCCACGCTGTCCTGGGCAGAGGCGGGCCCTGCTGGGGCCCCAGAGTGGGAGCGGCTTGGCCCCGGGAGGCCCAGGGGATGGCGCCCAAACCCTCGGCAGCCGTAACACACCAGGGCTGGGCTTTCGAGCGAGCGAGTTCTGAGCTTTGCTCTTTGTGTTTAATTTAGTTAAAAGTCAACCCCTGTAATTTTGGAGGGGAATTATAAAACTCTTTTAAAAGGCTGCATTTTAGAAGTCACACTCTGGTACTTAATCAAGGCATAAATTTGAGTTAAATACCCTTCCCCTCTCGTTCTTCTTAAATTTCCGAATCATCCGCTAATGGCACAGAAGGACTGTTCCGGGTGATTCTACCCGCGTGGCCTGGGCCACGTCTTTCCTCGAACCCCCCAGGAGCAGAGCCTGTGCCCGCAGGTTGTCGGGATGGCTGCTGGGTTTGGGGGCTCCCTCTGCCTTGGCAGTCCCCGCAAGCCAGACAGCGGCATCCCCCACGGCCACTCACTTTCTCCGCAGTGGGGCGGTTGTGTGTCTGTCCCCTCCATCCGCAGTCCTCGGACTCCGGACCGTGTCTCAGGCCCAGAGAGGCCGGCCGGGCTCTGAGTCCCACCGCGGGTTGGTTCCTGTTCCCCTCGCGAGGCGTGTTCCCTCGGGCAGGTGGGCCGTGGGGCCGGCCTGGAGCGCCCCGGTGGTCTCTGCCGGCGTCTCCCACTGGGCTCTTCTCATTTCGGGGCTCCCCTAAGGCTTGGGGCTCCCGCTCCTCTGTGTCCGGGAGTCCCGCCCAGTGAATGCACACCGGCACCCCCAGGGGGAGGCCTGTGCCCGTCAGCGAGGCTGTCGCAGAGAAAGCATGTCCTGCCACCTTCTCCACTTGGAAACGCAGAGTGTCAGCAAACCGTGAAAAGCACTTAGAGCTGTGAGCATGCCTCTCTCCTCCTCGAGACGGACTCCTCAGGAAAGCAATTGATGATAATTGTGGAAATGCCGTTGGTGGGGTTCAGTGGGAAGAATCTCTTCTCTGGAAAGATGCACCAGGATCGCGAGAGGAGCGAGTCTTGGTTTCTGCCCTCCATTTTGATTTCTGGCTGATGGAAACACGATTTGTGCATATTAAAAACACGAGTCCAGACCCGGCCCCAGGAGGACGCCCTCGGGCCTTGCCTGTCCTCACCCCGAGCAGCGCAGACCCCTCCCTGCTGAGGGCAGTCGTGCGTTCTGGGGTCGGAGGCCCAGAGCAGCACGAATTACTGATTCCAACTTTAGGAATTGGTCATTTTGATGGGTATTGTTTTGGCCGTTGTCTTGTGCTGGGAGTCTCGCCGAATGTGTTCCTGGTATTTTACCAGTTTCCTGGGAGGAAGGTTGTAAATCTCCCGATGAGGAAAACAACAAAAGAAGCCCCAGGGGTATGAGTGTCCGGGAGGGACACCGTGAAGCTTGGGTCAGGGCACGCTGATGCCGCTGAGTCTTCAAGCCGTTGGCTGAGAAGAGGTTGCGGAGTCCGTCCCGTCACACAGTCTCTGCCTTTGCTGTCTTGCAGGCTTGTGGCCCGCCGAGGAAGTCCTGGCGCACTACTGCCTGCAGCACGCGGACATCTTCAGGTACTGGCCCCCGCTGACCGCTCTGCACACTGGGAGCCTCTGAAGGTGGCCATCGCGGCCTTCCTCCAGTGAAGTTGTTCAAAGGGGGGGTGGGAGGGAGCGGGAGGGAGTTGGAGGGAGAGGAAGGGAGAGAAGCGGCCAGCTCCGCAGCGGCCAGCTCCGCTGTTAGTCAAAGGCTTCCTTTCCACTCAAGGCGCTTCATTTTACTTTGATTTGGGGAAAACAAAAGCAAAGCCCTAATCAATCCTTCCTGATTGTGCAGGTCACAAAAACAAGAGTGCCGAGGTCCTTTCAACTTCCCGGGAGTCAGCGCCCCCCAGGCCTTAAAGGCACAGAGGCTGCTTCCACTCTCGGGGTGTCTGTGGGACGTCGGGGCTGCTGCCACCCAGCCACGGGAACCAGCGCCCCAGCTGTGGCTGTGGCCGGAGGTCAAACCCACAGCCGAGTTTTAGGCAGAAAACCAGAAAAAATCCTTTTTATTTAAGAATTCGAAAGCAGTTGGCAGATGCAGAGATCCGGAATTTGTTCTTTCCCGATTCTTGTTTTTGTCGCGATCCTCCGCTTTTGCGTCTTCTCTGTTCCCGCCTGGACGGGGGCCTGGGGCAGGGCGGGCAGACAGACGGACAGTGCAGAGCCCTGGCCGCTCACGGTCCGGCTTGCAGCAACCCAAGTGCCGGCCGCCCCTCACGGCACTGCCTCACTCCCGACTTCCCCGTGGAGGAAAGAAACTCTGCAGCCGGGCGTGTGGGCACCCCAGCCGTCACGCGGCGTGGAGGCGCTTCTGGAGAGGGGGGCCGCGGCCCCTCGCAGCAGCGGCCGGTGCTGTGCGGGTGGGCTCGGCGCCTGCGCGTGCTGCGAGCCCTTCTCGGGGCTCTCCCGTGTCCGGGCCTGCTCCAGGGTCTGGGCTGCAGGAAGGTGAGCCAGGGCCCGTGGCCGCTTAGCGCTCTGGCCCGGCGGTTTCCGAGGCAGCAGCAGCGTGACCAGCCGCGCCCGCCCGGGCTGGCAATTATCTTTCGCGGCCGCAGCCCTGCCATTGACAGCCGGGGACCCTGCCCGGCTTCCAGCCCAGCGGTGGCGGTGCGCTGGCCCTCTAATGAGGGGACCCCCTGCTGCCCCCTGCTCTGTGACTTTGCTATTTCATAATTATTTCAAAACGCCAGCGCCGTGAGGCAGGCCCGCGCGTCTCGGGGACTTCCTGGAAGCGCCTTGTCGCCGCAGATGGCCGCCTGTCCGGGTGGCAGCACCGCCCGCCTCATTTACATGGCCCCGCTTCTGTTCTCTCTTTCAGGGGCCGAGCCGTGTGCGAGCTGGGAGGGGGCATGACATGCTTGGCTGGGCTCATGGTAGGTCTTTTCTCCAGCCCGATCCCATTCAGAGGGCGGAACAAAAGGAGCATGGGCCGAGCACCGCCGCGCTGCCTGGCCGGCCGGCGGAGGCCTTCCGGGTCGCGTGGGTCTGGGGCTGGACGAGCCGCACCAGACTCGCCCGTGTCGGCCCCGGGCTTGTTGTGACAGTCCCGGCCAGGCACACTCTTTCTTTGCCGTCCCGAAGGCATTTTTTTTTTCCAGATTATAGTCCCATTTGCTAAGATACAGACTAGCAGGCGAATCACAGTTGGAGCACATGATATAGCTGCTAATGTTTTGCCTGCATTATTACACCAACAAACATGATCCAGAGCGCTGGGTAATTAGATTCTTTTGAATTCGATTGGCCATTCAGGAGCGCCGTTCCCCATTCTTGGGTTCTGAGTCATGTATTCAGGAGATATTATGTGGCAGCACAGTGCATTAGACAAGTTTTTATGTCTCTACAAATAAAAGCATATTGTTACACTGATTGGCATTTGACAAACCTGTCGCTCTCACACAATGTGCCGAGGTTACAGCCCAACGTGCGAGCATGTCAAAGCTCACAAGGAAAATTACCCTCACAAAGCCATCTGCCTGCAACGCAAAGTTATATGAAGGGCATCAGGCAGGCAGACAGAGGCACGCTGAAAGGAGAGTGACAGGCTCGTATGATGGCTCCGTTAGATAAACAGAGGCCCACAAATGAAAGCCTCTCAGAACACCGTCATCCCCTGTCACAATGCAATTACCCAACAGAGTGATAGCAAGATAGAGTCTCCGCAAATGGAATGATAAAAGTATTGACTGATTTGATTGAATGATTAAAATAATGCAGACGTAAAATGAAAAAAGATTGGAGATCGCTCCCGAGGAATGGGTGGGAAGCATGATACTGCGCTGTCAGCCGCCTCACCCGGCTCGCTCCTCGCAGGTCGCCGCTTCTGCCGAGGTCACGGAAGTTCTGCTCAGTGACGGGAACGGAAAGGCCATCCGCAGTATCCTTGCTCGGGAGGAGGCCGGCCGTCTCGGCCGTGGAGGCAGCGCACTCCCCACCCAGGCCCCGCACACAGGCCGGGCGGGGGGCGGGGCCGGGCGCCGCAGAGCAGCCTGTATCCGTGGATTTATTTTCCTGCGCGGCTCACGCGGGCCCTCTCAGGCAGGCCGCGCTCGTGGCGTTCTCCGGGAATGCTCCACGCTCACCGCGGTGCGCCCGGCCCCCTCTGCAGCCACGCGTGCCGTCTCCTCTCTCTCTGCTGGAGGGTCTGGCTCAGACCCCACTGAGCAGCCGTCTCCACTGACACACACACACAGGCAAGGACTGAGCTGAACCCGGAAGCCGGGCGGCCCCTCGTCTGTGCTTCCTGAGCGAGGGGCCGGGCTTGCTCGGGCAGTCAGGGCTGGGTGCGGGGACTCCGCGACCTCCCCTCCGCTCCCAGACCCTTTGGCGTGGGTGGCGCTTACATAACGCCCTTTCCCCCCGACTTCTGCCCTCTGCGTTTTCTGAGATCAGATTCTGCAGCGGCCCACCTGGGCTGCGGGCCGGGAAAAAGGCGGCGACTGGGGGCCCTTCTTGGAGCCAGGGCCCCTCCGTACCCGCAGGGTTTTACCACGGCCTCGGCTCTCCCGAGCGTCTCCTGGGGACGAGCTGCTGTCGGCTTTGCTGCTCTCCTAACTGAGCCCCTCTGAGGGCTGCGGGGGTGGCGGAGGAGGCCGGGCGGGAGCCGGGCTGTGACCAGACTCTCCCTCTGCAGCGGCCGAGAGCCGCGAGGACTTGGTCCCACGGGGGCAGCCTCTGTAGCCATCCGTGACTGATTGTGGTGTCCGGGTGGTGAGGCCTCTGAGATCAGCCGCTGTGAACCAGCCCCCCGCCCCCTGCCAGCGTGGGTTGAGCTGAGCACAGCCCTCCCGGGAACGGGAACGTGGATCTGCAGCCCTAGAACGTCTTGTTGCGGGGTCACGTTGCGGCAGGGAGAGGAGAGGCAGCCCCTGGCCTCGCCGGCCGACAGAACTTAGTTGTCGTTTCCTGGTCTGTCTGTGTGGCGTGTGCTGCTGTAGCCCGACCTGGCGCTTTTCTGATGAAGTGGGACATCGCCTGGGCGCGGCCTCCCGCCCCCTGTGCCGGCCCTGGGCCAGCCAGGCCACGCTGCCTGGACTCGTCCTGCTCCAGACACCTCCGCCGGGGCAAGTGTCTCTTGTTTGTCTCTGGCCTTTGGCGTCCGGGAGGCCCAAACGTGACGCCGGAAGATACGAGCCAGAAATGTCACCTCCTAGCAGTGAGGGTGGGGTCGGCCCACAGGGGATGGTCCCGGGAAGGGTCTTGACACACCGCTGGTTCTTCTCCTTGGCAAGCGGAGGCGCAGGAAGCCGAGGGTCACGTGGGCCCTGTCTCACTGCTTCTCTCCCTCTTGTTGCTTGGACCGTGCGCTGGGTTGACTCCCAACCCTGTGCTCCGGGATCAGCCCTGGTGGGGCTCAAGGGGACCGTGTGGTGTCAAGTGGGCCCTGGGGGGCTGCGTGCGGGGCCAGCACCGCCCTCTCTAGCTGCTCCCACCCGGCTCTGCTGTTCGTCATGGGTCAGACTGCCCTGACTTCCTTTTGGAAAAGCCACCAAGATTCCAGCTCTCGCCTCTTTTATTTTTTATTTACTTATTTATTTGTTTTTCTTTTTGGGTCACACCCGGCAATGCACACGGGTGACTCCTGGCTCACACACTGAGGAACTACTCCTGGCAATGCTCGGGGGGCCATAGGGGATGCTGGGAATCGAACCCGGGCCAGCCATGGGCAAGGCAAACCCCCTCCCCGCTGTGCTATTGCTCCAGCCCTTCTTGGCCTCTTTTTCTTTGAAAAAGAAGTGTTTCCTGATGGTTGCTGTTTAGCTTCTGTTCCTCCCTCTTTCTCGGCCAGCGAGGCCTGAGTTGCCTCTCGGGGTTTACTCCTGGAAACCGGCCATTTGTCAGCTACGAGAGCATCAGCAGGGCTGGACAGAAGACTCGGGTCTCGCAGAGGTGGGGGCACTCGGGAACTCCTCGTGCCCGTGGCTTGACCCCCAGTTCCTCCGGGTCCTGGTCGGACCCCGGGCTGCCCTGCCAGCTGCCTCCCCCAGCCCGAGAACAAAGGCCCCGGGACATGTCACCTCTCAGGCCTCCACCAGGCCGCGCTGTGGGGAGGGACGGGGCAGTGGCCAAGTCCAGCCCTGCTCAGCTTGGCCCATGTGCCCGTTTGCGCAGGAGGGTCGGCTCTGCCTGGCCGAGCTCAGGGTCGGGGTGGGCTCGGGGCCCGCCTGCCTGCCCTGTGCTGTGCCTCTGCTCCACCCTCGGGCTCGGAGTCCAGCTCGCGACCCACCACGTGGCGTTTTCCCGATCGAGTGTGGGCTGGGAGGCCCAGTGCCCCGTGTGGCCGCCCCAGCGCCTCCATCGCCCGGGGCCCCACGTCAGCTGCCACCGCAGCAGATTGCCGAGGGACTCAGAGGGTGACCGAGTCGTGACCCCCACGACTCAGAGCGAATCCAGCCACTGGTGACCACGTGGGTCTCCGGGCTCCAGAACGTGGCGTGGCCAGGCTGAGTGAGGCCAGCACGCAGGGTGGGCCCGGGGTCAGGCTGCACACCCATCTCACGTGGTGGCCTCTTGCCCCAGTGCTCGCCTGCGCAGCTGAGGCTGGCGGGACGTGAAGGGCTGAGCCACGCTGGCTGTGGGACCCAGCTCCTCCCGGAGGACCCGCCCTGATGACCTGCCAAAGTCACCAGCACCTGAGGAAAGGCCGGGGGAGGTCAGAGTTCACGGGACAGGCAGCACTGGCCACGTGGGTCTGGGAGTGCAGGTCACCTTCACCACTGACGGCCCCACAGCGAGTGCCCGCTTCCGGCCGCGGTCAGTGCAGGAGGGGGAGGGAGCGAGTGGGGGTGTCCCAGAGTGTGTGCCGTGGTCACTCGGCGCGGTCTGACCAGTCTCCCGTGACCCCAGTGCCGCAGGGCCAGGCCAGGACTCCTCACCCGGCCGCACTTCCCATTGGCGACGCTGAGGAGGGTCAGGTCTGTCCTGGACCCTGTGTCCACCTGGACGGCCCAGGGAGCCCACCCGGGGGCATTGTCCAAGCACACGGCCGGGTCCCCTGGGGCTGCGTGCAGGAGCAGCTGGGCCTTGGGGCGGGAAGGGGCCCCCACACTGCGTGGGTGGGCTCCTCAGAAGACACCACAGTGAGAAGCCCCCTTCTCCCTCCGCTGACCCCCTGCAGGCCAGGCCCGGGAGAGTGTGGAGTGTGCAGGGTGTTCGCCAAGAACCCTCAACAGGCTTCCTGGTGTGAACTCCCGTGACTGTTTCATGAAAGGTGTCACCTCCACTAACACAATCCCGTGTTTCCCTCCCTCGGTTCCTCCCAGGTGGGGGGGGGGGGGGGGCGTGGCGGGAGGGCAGGGTGTGACCGCAGGCCATGCTGCAAAGACTTCCCGAAATAGCCACAACTGCAGGCCCGGTGGCGTTTCTGTTCATCAAAACAAGGAGGCAAATTAGTCTCTTTTATTTTTTTAATGAATGCAATTTAACGGTATTTAATTTGCGTATAGGAAAGTTCACCCAGAAAAGAAAAGTCTGCAGCGTAGCACCTTTGTAAGCTCACAAAGCCCTTCTCAGGCCTAATTGCTTCCCGCCCGCCCCAGGAGGAAGTGAGCTGGGCTTTCACGGTGCCGGTGCAGACGCCCAGACGTGGGGCTTCCCCTGCGGGAAGCGGCTGGCACGCGGGAGCAGCCGGCCCCCAGCGCAGGGACCGTGCTATGAACTGGGGTTCCGTTTGTTGGCTCGGGGGCCAAGGCCGCTGTCTCCAGAGCAGAGCGACCCGACGGGCACTGAGTCCCCAGTGACCGCTGGCCACAACTACTGCAAGAGGCCCTTCCCCCGGGCGCCGCTCTGGGCTTCTTGGGCATGGCTTTCTCCGGAACATTCTCCCACATTCCCGAGGCTTCCCACGCCCTCACACATCCTCCCTGTGCCCGAAACACCCTCTGTCCCCAGGGCCGGGCCTCCGGAATCGGGTGCAGCCCACCTGCTCTAGGCAGCCAGCGGCCCGGCCGCCCCCTGCCCCTGCCCCGTCCCCTGTCCCCTGGGTCAGCCCCGACCCCCCTCCGGGCACACTTGGCTGTCCCTGTCCCTGTTGGTTCCCCCACTCCCAGCTCCACGGACCCCCGCCCTCCCCCATGCCTCGGTCAGCCTGCCCCCACCTGCGCCCCCCCCCCCCGTCCCCGCTCTGCCCAGGCCTGATCAGTTTGCTCCCCCGCCCTGTCCAAGGATGCCCCCGGTGTGTCCTCACTCTTGTTCGGGTGCAGGCCCCCCGGTCAGCTGCAGGGGTCAGAGGCGTCTCTGAGTTGTTGCCGACCTTAACCGTGTCCCAGACGTGAATGACATCATCGCTCGGAACCGGAAGGCCGGGACGGTGAAGACTGCTCAGCTCAGCAGCCGGTAAGCCTCGCCGGGGACGCGCTGCCCAGCCCCAGCTGGCTCCTGGTTTCTGCCTAGAGCCCCCAGGAGGGGCACGGGGGGGGTGGGAGAGAGGGGGGCGGCCTGTCCCCCGTCTCGTCCCAGAGACGCCCCAGGTCAGGGGGGCGGGTGTGGGCCTGCCTGGGCTGGGAGGAAGGCGGCTGGCTGGTACTTGGGCGCGTTCATGCCATCACCTCTCCCCGGGCAGGGGCATTTCTCCCGGATGCTGAGTCGGGGGACCCGGAGGCGCCCCAGTGCTGCCGTGTGTGAGCCCTGGGCTCCCGCCTCCCGCACGGGGCAGGTCAGCCGTGGTCACCCCGGGCAGCGTCTCCCTGTGCGTGGGCCCCGCCCCTGAGCCATCCGTCAGGAGCGTTTCCCGGGGCCTCATCTACATGGTTCTCGCGCCGAAGGGACCGCGCGGCCATTTGCCTGGATCTCGGCATATGAGTCGGGGAATAATAGATTTCAGCATCATGCTGTGAGGAGAGATTGTGTTCTTGCAAGACATAATGTTGTTTACTGGGTGTTAATAATCACTAATTAATAAACATATCTAGACTTCCAGAACGTTGCATTTGGAGGAATGAAAGTGTCAAGTGTTTAACTCACAGAGTGAGCAGCGTTTTCTGTCTCAGGAAAATCACTCTGTCCCGTCAGGAAGCACTGGGACATAATGATTGATGTTCCCGCGACGGTGGCCGCAGCTCCTGCCCTCTCCCCCTGGGCTGTGGGACCCCCCTCGAAACTCCTCGTCCCGACGCTGCCTCCAGGAAGTCCTCCTTCTCCTCTCGGGCCTTTGCGGTGGCTTGTCCCTGGTCAGCTGATGCCTGATGCCCTCACACCCTCACGCCCCTTCCTTCTCCATCCCTGTGAGCCCCGGGACGGGAGAGGCCTGGCCGCTGTGGCCAGTCGGAGCCGTGGGAAGAGCGACCAGCTGCTCTCCCTCCGGCCATCACCCCCAGCAGTGGGGAGGTACTTTCAGCACCGTGGGTGTCAGGCTGACGCCAGTGTTCCCCACATCTCTGCATGGACGGTGTGTCTTGGGCGGAGGAGCTTGCCCGTGGGAAATGGCCCCTGAGGGCCACCAGCAGCATTGAGAACGAGCACAGGGACCTGTGTGCCCCACGCTGGCCTGTGGCTGGGGAAGTGACGGGCTGGCGCCCGCCGGGCAAGAGGACACAGAGGCACAGCCAGGCCAGGCCGGGCCCGGGGCCGTGTGGAGGGACGGGGAGGGTCTGTCCCAGCCAGTGGGAGGGCAGGTGGGGTGGGGAGGGCCGAGGGTGGACTGGGCCGGCCCGGCAGGCCCTCGGAGGAGGGGACGGTGGGACCCCCAAGAGCACGGCTGAGGGAGCCCGGAGGCGGGTCCTGGCGGGAGGGTTGGTTCTCCAGACCCAGCACCCTCGCTGCCCTCACCAAGGGAGGGAGGGTGCTGGGCCTGCCCCTGTGCCTCACTTTCCCTGCCCAGGTGCCCGGCTGGGGGCCAGGCGCTCCCACCCGCGGGGCTCCGAGAGTGGCCCTGTCCATGTGGAGACCTGGAGGCCTGTCCAGGGTGTGCAGCTCCTCGGCCAGTCAGGGGTCGCTGCCGGCAGGGATGCCAGGAGTGAACCTGTGGCCAGCAGCTCTTCACTGTCCAGGCTGGAGGCGTCGCTGCCTGGGGGTCAGCGGCAGAACGAACCCAGCCTCCAGGGTCCTGGCGGCGGTTCTCAGGCATCCGTCGTTCTGCCCGGGGTTCCTGATGGCCAGCACTGTCCCTCGACACCACCGCCAGGGTTCCTGACCCGTCCTGTGCTGCGGCCCCTCCTCCCTAGCCACACTGCCCTCCTGCCCTCAGGGCCGATGGGTGACGTTGGGGTCTCCACCTGCTCCTTCGGTCCATCTGTCCCGACGCCGTGGCCATCCCTTCCCTCCGTAGCTGCCTCCGAGCCGGGCACGGCGGATGCCTCCTCACCTGCCTGTGCTCGTGTCCAGAGCTGCGTTGGTCGTCCTTGTCAGGAGCAGTGGCCGTCGGCACTGACCCTTCCCAGTGTCTCACTCTCATTCCTGAGGCACTGACCCTCTTTCCCCAGATTGGTCTGGCTAGAGGAAATTTTTTTGTTTTAGCACTTAATCAGTTTTTTCAGTGAATATCGTTTCTTTGATTTTGCTGTTTCTCTCTCTCTCTCTCTCTCTCTCTCTCTCTCTCTCTCTCTCTCTCTCTCTCTGTCTCTCTCTTTTCATTTCTTTCACTTTGTTCTCAGCTTTCTGATCCTGTTGGGCTTGTCTTACTCTTCTTTTCCTTGTTGAGTTGGAACTGAATTGGCTGAATTACAACCTTTCTCAGAGGAACGTGCAGCTGTGAATTTTCCTCTTGCTACTAATTTAGTGGATCCCACACATTTTCATGTATTGTATTTTCAGCTTTCATTTGGTTCAGAATACTTTTCAGATCTTTTAATTTCCTCTTTGGATTCTAGATTATAATTGTTTATTTTCCAAATCTTTTCACATTTTGTAGGGAAAATTTACTGTACATTTTATTGTAAAATTTATCGTTGATTCTGAATTTAACTCAGGCTGCCAGGGACTTGTTTTTTTGCAATGCACTGAAGCACCCAGAAGTCTCAGACCTGCTTCTTGGCTTGATCCTCAGACATTATAAAATGATTCTGTGTATGACCAGTCCTTGCTCTGAAACCTACCTTCTGGCATGAATCCTGCTACGTTGCTTTCTGTGTTCTGCTTGTATCTGTTTTCATGCTTTACTTTCAACATTGGTAGCTTTATGTTTAAAATACTTTTATTGTGCCTAGGGATGGTGCCAACCCTGTTTATAGCCCAGCTAAGGCCATAGGTCCAACCCCTGGGTCATTATCATACACACATCTATACGTACATGTGCATTGGAAGCAATCTATATATATATATATATATATATGTGTGTGTGCATATATACATACTTTTTTTTTTTTTTTTGCTTTTTGGGTCACATCCGGCGATGCTCAGGTGTTGCTCCTGGCTCTGCACTCAGGAATCACTCCTGGCGGTGCTCGGGGGACCCTATGGGATGCTAGGAATCGAACCCAGGTCGACCGCGTGCAAGGCAAACGCCCTCCCCGCTGTGCTATCGCTCCGGCCCCTAATCTCTATTTTAGCGTCACGGTTTCGTCTCTACCCCACGCTGCCTCTTCACTGGAACAAACATCATGTCCTTGCATCCACTCACCGAGAAGGGTCTGCTTAAATCTGTGGTTTATTCCTTCTTCCTCTTTGCCTCTGCATGAAATGAGACATTTTATTGTTCTTATTGTTCTGTTGCACTTCCCTTGACCCGTCTGCTGTAGCTTTACCATGCTTGTCTTTTTTTTTTTTTTTTGCTTTTTGGGTCACACCTGGCGATGCTCGGGGGTTACTCCTGGCTCTGCACTCAGGAATCACTCCTGGCAGTAGCTCAGGAGACCATATGGGATGCTGGGAATCGAACTCAGGTCGGCCGTGTGTAAGGCAAACGCCCTACCCGCTGTGCTATGGCTCCAGCCCTCCCCCCCTTTTTTTTTTTTAATGAATCACCATGAGGTACAGTTACAGACTTACTTTCATGATTGCGTTTCAGTCAAACAATGGTCGAGTCCCCATCCTTCCACCAGTGCCCATTCCCCACCTCCAGTGGTCCCAGTGTCCCTCCCCCACCCCCGCCTCTGTGGCAGGGCATTCCCTCTTACTCTCTCTGTCCTTCTGGGTGTTGTGGTTTGCAATACAGGTACTCAGTGGCCGTCCTGTTTGGTCCATAGTCTGCCTCAGCGCGCACCTCCCATCCCGAGCGAGCCCTCCCGGCATCCTTTGCTTGGTGCTCCTCTCTCCATCCCAGCTGCCTTTTCCCGCAGCGCCTGAGATGGGCTCCTGACCCTTATCTCCACTGTCCTTAGGCTCCAGTCTCCCATTGTGTCACTCGTGGAGGTATCATGCTGAGTGAAACGAGTCAGCAGGAGAGGGACAGACATGGGAGGACAGAATCACCTGTGGAGTGTGAAGTCGCATAAGTGCCACGTGTCTTCCCTCGCCCCGAGCCCCTGATGCGGCGAGTCCGTTCCACATCATCTCCTCGTCTGGTCCCTGCGTCCCTGCTCCCATCATCCCCAACTGCACCCATGCTCCAATCTCCGTCCCGGACCTGCCTCCCCATGGCCCGCCCGTTCGGAAAGCGCCTTGGGCCTCCGTCTGTCCCTCCACCTCAGTCCCAGGCCCATGCTCTCCCCCGGGGCACCATGTGGGCCCCTGGTGTGCCTTCTGCACCCCACCAGGCCTTCCTTCCCGTTTCCTGGCACACCGGCCGCGAAGAGGTTTGAGGTTCCCCCCACTGGGCTCTAACCCCATCTGGGCCCCACGCTCCCAGGAGGGGAGTGGTGCATGCCAGCACTGTGTGAGTCCTCCAGCTGCCGTGGCTGTTGGGCTAGACCACTCGGTGCCCTGGAGTTTTCTGTTTCTCGTGCTTGGGACTTGCGGAAATTGTTTTGTTCTTTGGGTTCGTTGTTCTTTTTAGACTCTTTTTTTTTTTCTTTTTGGTTTTTGGGTCACACCCAGCGATGCTCAGGAGTTACTCCTGGCTCTGCACTCAGAAATTACTCCTGGCATTGCTTGGGGGACCACACATATGGGATGCTGGGGATCGAACCCAGGTCGGCTGTGTGCAAGAGAAACGCCCTACCTGCTGTACTATCGCTCCAGCCCCAAGGGTTAGTTGTTCTTAGTACATTTTGAAAATTTTAAACAGCCACTTTTAGTTTTTAATTCTTTCCATTTTTATTTGCTTGCTATGTTTACGTCTCGTATGATCTATATTTCCATTACTTAAAAGCTTTTCCTCTTTATTCAAACGTCGTGGTTTACAGAGTTGTTCCCAGTGCGTCTGTTCCAGGCTTGCAGCATTCCAGCCCAGACGCCCCCGTCACTGTTGTCTTCCTCCACGGGTGTCCATTTCCCGGTCACTGTCCCACGCCTTCCTCTGTAGAGCCACAAGATAGCTTGTTTTATGTGCTTATGACGACTAAATGGCTAATGGAATTATCAAAAAATACTACTTGAATAAAAAAAAAATTGTGAAAATTGTTATATGTCCCCAGGGGGACATTAAGTCCTTGTCTGAGGGTTTTCTAACCTGTTGTTGCTAGTTGAGCCACGTGTTAATGTTCTCGCTTATGAGTTAGATGACTTTGTTCCCGTCTAGTTTGGTGTGATCTTCTTGGATTCAGTATTGCAGAGTTTGGAGATGTTGCACAGCCATGTGTGTGCCTCCAGCCCCAGAAACTCCAGGATATTTAACTGGTCGTGGTGACATGACGGTGGCTGTGCAGAGGGTGTGTGCTTTCCAGCGCTTCTGGGAGTCTAGGGAGGGGGGATTTTCAGCCAGGGGATGGGTGTATCCGTGAATGTTTACAGCGAGTTCTTCTCTCCTGAGACTTAATCATGAGTCTGTAGAGCTGGGGCAATAGACAGGCTTACAGGTGGGGTCAATCTCACTTCTGCATATACTTTGTCTCCTCCTCTGTTCTACCCTTCGAGGACTCAGATTACACATTTATAGGCCCCACCTCAAGCAGATTCGGTCTTGCTTAAGAACGTTAAATGCACATATATAAATACCTGAGTGAAATCCCCCTTATTTGTAGGGGTTATGCAATGACCAGGGCTTACTTCTGGCTCTGTGCTTAGGAATTACTCCTGGTGGACTTGGGAGACCATATGGGGTGCTGAGGATAGAACCTGGGTCAACTGTGTGCAAGTCAAGCACCCTCCTGGCCAAACTATGGCTTCAGTCCCTCTTTCATGCTGTTTCTCTCTCACCTCAGTTTATCTCTGCTGATCTCTGCTGTCCATGGTCTTCCTCCTGCAGTGTATACTGCACTTGTGGTTCCACTAGAGCTAGTCTCCTATAGGAAACTCATCCCCTCTAGGACACAGTCTCCTATAGTACACTTATCCCTCTAGGACACAGTCTCCTGTAGGACACTCATCCCCTCTAGGACACAGTCTCCTGTAGGACACTTATTCCTCTAGGACACAGTCTCCTGTAGGACACTCATTCCCTCTAGGACACAGTCTCCTGTAGGACACTCATCCCCTATAAGACACTCATCCCCTCTAGGACACAGTCTCCTGCAGGACACTCATTCCTTCTAGGATACAGTCTCCTGTAGACACTCATCCCCTCTAGGACACAGTCTCCTGTAGGACACTCATGTCTAGAACAGTCTCCAGTAGGAAACTCATCCCCTCTAGGACACAGTCTCCTATAGTACACTTATCCCTCTAGGACACAGTCTCCTGTAGGACACTCATCCCCTCTAGGACACAGTCTCCTGTAGGACACTCATCTCCTCTAGGACACAGTCTCCTATAGGACACTTATTCCTCTAGGACACAGTCTCCTGTAGGACACTCATTCCTCTAGGACAGTCTTCTGCAGGACACTCATCCCCTCTAAGACACAGTCTCCTGTAGAACCCTCATCCCCTCAAGGGCACAATCTCCTATAGGACACTCATCTCCTTAGGACACTGGGTTCCTCAGGACACTTATTTTCTCTAGAACACTGTTGTCTTCTTGGACACTCATCTCTAGGACACTGGTCTGTTCAGGCTTCAGGACACTATTCTCCTCAGGACACTGGCTCCTGTAGGACGCCGTCTCTTGTAGGATACTCATCTGTGTTTCCAAGACTGGAGACACCATTCCTGACCCCCCTGGGTGTCTCTTGTCCTCGTGACCTTCTCTGAGGTATGGATTTGCGGCTTGCAGCTGCAGCTGTTGCCGTGGCCCTGAGAGGGGGCCACGTGCTGTATCTGCAGACCATGGGAGACGCCTCATTTGTGTGCACTGTCCCCAGGGTTGTGTGCCAGGCATCGAAGGCCGGTCTTGTTGGGACCCAGGTGTCTGTTTCATGTTGAGCCGGGGGTCCCTCAGTCCTGGGCTCTGGAAGCTGCACTCGTCCTCCCACCCCAGGCCACTATCCTTGGTCGCTGGTTTCTGTACCCAGGAAGCGAGTGTTGCGCTTCGTGCGTGCTTGGTCTCGTGTTTATAGTTTGGGCAGCGGGTGAGGGAGTGCCTTGCCCAGAGCAGGCCCTGGAGAGCCCCTGCTGGCCAGTCTGTCTGCGTGTCCATTCAGAGCAGCTCCGCGGCTTCCTGCTCCGAGCTCCCACTCACTCGCGGCTGCGGGCGTCGGGCTGTGTCCCTCCTGCAGTGGCCTGAGAGGTGACGCGTAGCAGGGACGGGAGGGGCCAGCGGAGGGGGACAGGCTCCTGCGACCTGCTCGGTAGCCCCCTGAGATGACTGTCACCCACACGGGGGCTCGGGGAGGACTGGGCCCCAGAGGAACGTCCTGCTCAGCAGCTGGCCATCCACTGTGCCCAGGAAGTGACAGCAGTTCCCATGGCACCTGCTCCCATGAGGTCTGGGGGGGCCCTCAGGGGCAGAGCGGTCCCTCTCCCGTGGGGTCTGGGGGGACGCAGGGCAGAGCGGCCCCCCGTCCCAGTCTTGCGTATGTGGGGACTCTCGCCACCCTGGTGCACCCAGAGCGCCTTTGTGTCGCTGAATCTGATGCTGACTGGTGTTCAGCCATGTTGGCTCCCCTGGAGAGCGTGGGAGAGCCCCCCCCCCACGTGGCTAGTGCCAGTGGTGGGCAGCTTCCCCTTGGCCGCAGGGTGGAGCAGAGAGGGGCGTCCGGGTGTCCCCCTGCCCTGCTGTCGCTTCCATGTCCCTTGCTGGGAGGCTTCACTGTAGCCTTATGGCTTCTGGGGGTCTCACCTGGGCACCCCCTGTGCCCCTGCCTACCCCAGAGCCCATCACAGCCAGCAGGCCAGCACCATGGCCAGTGCATGTTTCATAGATGTGTGCCAGTGGGAGTCTGTGTGCGTGTGTGCATGTGTGTGCGTGTGTGTTTGCATATGTGTGTGTGCATTTGTGTGTGCATGTGTGTGCGTGCATGTGTGTGCATGTGTGTTTGCATATGTGCGTGTGCATGTGTGTGCATGCATGTGTGTGCGTGTGTGTGTTTGCATATGTGTGTGTACGTGTGTGCATTTGTGTGTGCATGTGTGCGTGTGTGTTGCACGTCTGCATGTGTGTGTGTGTGTGCGTGTGTGTGCAGGGGGAGAGGGCTCTGTCCTGCCCACCTGGGTTACCCCTCAGCTTGTCTGCAGAGCTGTGCAAACTAGCCAGAGCTTCCTTCTGAATTTAAGGGTGAATTCTTCCTCTCCTGCATTTGAAGAGTAAGAAGAGACAGTAGCAGCCCTGTTTTTTTTATTATACCTTTTGAAATAATTTGTATATACCTTTTAAATAATTTCAAGTGCCACAAAATAATGTTAATAGCTCAAAATCAAAAGTTAAAAAAAAAAAACAAGTATAATTTTTAAAATCTTTTTCTCCTCAAGCGTTTTACGATGGGATAATGAGGCAGATGTCTGTCAGCTGGAAGGACATTTTGACATTGTTATGTGTGCTGACTGGTAAGTACATAAAATCACCAACTCCTCTTAGCAAAATAGCTTCGCCGGAGGGCTGGGCTGGGCCTCCTGCAGACGGCAGCCTCCCTCCGTAAATTAATATTCATCGCCATGTGACAGCCCAGGGCGGGCCTCATCTCCACTAACTTCTGCCACATTAGTTCCCAGAGAATGACTCTGAGAAGCATTTCCATTTTCTGGAATCGCCTCTGTTTCATGCTTGACGTATCAGTAAATGGACGACTTAGGCAAATTGCAAATAATTATGGCTCGGAGAGGAGCCGTCTGGAGGAAGAGGAGTTTATCAACACAAACAGCTCAATTAGCTTACTTCTTCGGGGAGATCTGACTATTGATATAAGGGATCCACGTATGTGTACAGTACACACACGTATGTGCACCCACAAACACGCCTGTGCAGCGTCTTCAGGGGAGCGGCTTTTCTGAAAATGTATGTTTGGCATCTGGTATTTGTAGTGGAGTCGATTATGATATTTAATTATACCTAAAACAAGAATTATAACATCCTGTTTTATTATTATGCAAATAGTCTTAAAATCTGTATGATACTGCTTTTTATTTTATTAATTTAATTATTTTTTGACGCTGCTTTTTAGATTTATTTTTATTAGACACTCTCACTTCTCTTTTAGCCCAATCTGCTCTTTGTTAATGAGTGTCTGGTCCTAAGTTACAGGATAAATATGTGTCAAATCTTCATAATGATTTCTACTCATACCACGTTTTTTCTTCATGTGTGGTGCATAATAATTAGTTCAGTATATCAGAAACATCGACAATTCAGTATTTCCCTGTTAAGAATGAGATCCGACTTGTGGCTTTAACGTTCTTTTTCGTAACACTTCAGATTTGAAAACACAAATTCAGGCTCTGAGGAGTCTGAGTGTGGGTGATCCCGACCACGTGCTTCAGACTCGCAGGGGCCGGCCGGGGCGTGGGGGCGGGGGTGCCCTCAGGTCTTTCCTATCATTATTTTTATTATTCCGCAAAAATACTCCTGGTAACTTCTTTACCTCAGTAAGCGTGCTCTGTTTTCTGCAGAGAAATGCTTCTCCATGGGAAATCGTGATTTGGCTGTCCAGAGCTGAAATTGACCTTGTTGGCGCCTTTAGCGTGTTCACCCCAATTTCAGAAAGTGCTCCAGGACGCTTTCTGGACACTCGGGCTGAGACTCACACACAAGTGAAGCCCCACAGAACTGGTAAATGGAACTCTGTGACCTTGGACTCCAGGCTCAATGGGATCCTGGAACAGAGATCCTCGGCCTGCTTCCACCGATCTCTGGCGACCCAGGGATTATACACAGAAGACCCACCCTACCGCTACCAGATAAATACCTCATCAGCAGACCTCCACTACCTCCACTACCCAGCCACTGCCATGCTCCAGGATGCTTTCCGGACCACGAGGCCACGACAAATCATAAGACACTTAATACCCATCTTCCAAGATTATCGCACCATATTTGATGGAGTTCAACCATGGGAACACCTGCAAGGGCGATTAGAGGCCACCCTAAAAGCCTCTATCCCTCTCAGAGAGCCTGGCAAGCTACCGAGAATATCCCGTCCACACAGCAGAGCCTGGCAAGCTATCCGTGGCATATTTGATATGCCAAAAACAGTAAATACATTGGGTCTCATTCCCCTGACCCTGAAAGAGCCACCAGTACAGCAGCGTTAAGAAGGATGAGGAAGGAGAGCTTGATAAAATCTCAAGGCCGAACTAGGCTGCCAAAACGAAGAAAGACAAAAGTGACTGTCTGTACTTTCAATACACGTACGCTGGCATCAGATGCATCCATCAAGGACCTGATGGTACAAGCGCGAAAGATCAAATATGACATCATTGGTCTGAAACCGAGATGAGAAGGCATCAGTCACATCACACTGTTTTCAACACTGGAGAAGAACTGTTTCCTCGGAACATGTGACAAAAGATGTGTCAGTGGCATTGGTGTCCTTGTCAACACGAACTTGGCCATTAACATTGATTAATTCGAATGCCTAACAACCCGAATTGGACAATTACACTTGAATAGATGTGGCTCACTGCTGGCAGTTTCTATCTTCGTTGTCTGTGCACCAACATCCAATTATGATGAAGGAGAAATTGAGAAGTTCTACATAGAGCAGCAGAAGTTCTATAAAGAAGACCACACCTCTACAAGATCATTGTTAGTGATTTTAATGCCAAGATAGGACCAAGAAGATCAGCCAAAGAACTCCACATCGGGACCCATGGCCTACGATGAAACGAACAGGGTGAGAGACTGTCTGAGTTCATCATGTCCACCAAGACCATCCATGGTAACTCACAGTTCCAGAGGGCCGAATCTAAATGTTGGATATGGGAGTCTCCCGGTGGACGGTTCTACAATGAAATAGACCACATCATATTCAATCGACGGTTTTGCCTGACCTGTGTCGCTGTTGTCCCAAAATTCCAAACGGGATTTTCATGCAAAATTCTACTTCATAGAGTGGGGAGAAAGGGCTGCAAAGTTTAAGAAGAGAACTCCCAGAACGACCACCAACTGGGAGCTCTTTGACACTATTGCGGCAACATGGGAAGATGCCGTCGTTGACAACATTGACGAAAAATACAATCGACTTGTTCAGCACCTCCATGATTGTGCAAGGAATGCCAAGAGAGAGATAGCCACAAAAAGACAACTGTCTTCGAAAACTCTTGAGCTCATTCTCCAACGTGGGTTGGCGCAAGCCTCAGGCAACCACAAGCGAACATCCGAGCTCGCAAAGCAGTGCAGAAAAGTGATAAAGGAAGGCCTCAAAGAGAGAAGAGCAGCAGTGCTGGCAGATGTGGCAGAAACCAGGAAAAGCATTCGCAGTGACTGCCTGTCCTTTGCCAACTACAAGACCAAGATGACTTCCCTCTGACGTCCTGATGGATCTATCACATCTTCCAGAAGGGCAGTGGAGAAGATTATCTATGACTTCTACTCAAATCTCTTTGATAGCCATGTCCACCTGCCCACATACCAAATTCCACAGGATGGATATGTTGTTCCCAACATTCTCCCTTCTGAAATCCGACACGCCATTTCATCGGTAAAGAAGTGAACAGCACCCGGCCCAGACAAGGTAAGACCCAAACACCTGAAGAACCTGCCATAAGTACTCATCAATACACTGGCTCGGCTCTTCACATGCTACCTGTCTGAATGCAAGGTTCCATCCCAAAGGAAAACCAGCAGGGCTGTACTACTGTACAAGAAGGGAGACATCCACAACATTGGCAACTATCGCCCAATCTGCCTGTTGTCTGTTGTCTATAAGCTGTTCACTTGAGTCATCCTAAATAGGATTAGAAGAACACTAGATGAAGGACAACCATGAGAACAAGCCAGGTTCCACAAAGGATTCAGCACGATCGACAATATCCACACAATAACCACGCTCATTGAGGTTTGTCTGGAGTTCAAGATGCCCTCTGTCTAACGTTCATTGATTTAAAGAAGGCCTTTGATTCTGTTGAGATGGAAGCGGTCATCGAAGCCCTAGCCAAACAGGGCGTTCAAACTCAATACATCAGGATCCTCCGTGAACTGTATTATGGATTCACTACCAGGATCTCACCATTCTACAGGGAAGTGATCATTGACGTCAAGAGAGGGGCTTGGCAGGGCGATACTATTTCACCGAAACTCTTCAGTGCCACCCTCGAGAACGTCATGTGACGACTGGAATGGGAAGGAATGGGAGTGAAGATAGACGGTTGGCAACTACACCACCTCCACTCTGCTTCACTGATGACATTGTTCTAGTAATACCAAACATTAGCCAAACGGCACAAATGCTGGCCGACTTCGACCGTGAGCGTGGAAAGGTTGGACTGCAGCTGAATCTCATGAAGACAATGTTTATGAGAAGCAGTCTTGTTCCCGACGTTCCATTCATTCTCAATGGAATGAACATCTCTGAATGCAACAGTTATGTGTACCTAGGTCGTGAAGTCAACATGACAAATGACCTGGCACCCGAGCTGCGCAGGAGGAAGAGAGCGCTTGGAACACCTTCAAGAGCATCGAAGAAATAGCTGAGGATGAAGAACCTCCGGTTCCGGGCACATCTCTTCGATTCCACTGTTCTTCCTGCATTAACATACGCCTCAGAGACCTGGGCCCTACGCAAACAGAATGAGAACGCTAGTCGGGTCTCCCGAGGAGGAATCGATAGAGCTATGCTTGGAGTATCACGTTTCACTCAAATGAGAGAAAGAATCCAAAGTTCCGACCTCCATCTACGGTCAAGAATCAGGGACGCTGTCTCATTTGCCAAGGCGTCAAAAATCAGATGGGCTGGACAGGTAATGAGATTTGGAGACGACCGCTGGACTAGAGCTGTTACCGACTGGATTCCACAGGATGTCAAAAGATCGCTTGGCTGCCCACCTACGAGATGGTCAGACTTCTTCATCAAGACCCTGAACCATCAGTTTGAGGCTCTTTGTGTTCCTAGAACAAGTAGATGCCATTGGGCTACACTAGCATGCAACAGGGACAAATGGAGACATTACTGGTACCCGCTCAAGCAAATCGATGTGCTACAGAATGTGATCAAGTATCTGGGGTGGGGGGAGAGCCTGGTCTCCGGCAGACCCGGCTCTTCCCCACTCACCAGGCATCAGGGTGACCAGAACAAGCCACTGGGAGCCCTCGTCCTCTCCCAATGGGTTGGTGGGGGTGGGTCGGCTCTGAGCCGCGCCCATTGTCCCCACACACGGCACCAGCAGGCCCCCCCACCCGGCCTGCACCCAAGTGCCAGGGCCACAGCACAGGCCCCCACACCCACACACACCCAGTCCCTCGCACTGTGAACCTATGCACGTGCACACATGCTCGGTCACAGGTGTGTTGCGTACAAACATGTAGTCATATGTGCATGCAGGACCAGAACTCTGCTTCATGCTCTCACATGCACACATTCAGTCACATGTGTGCTATGAGACTGTGCCAGGACACACACGACTTCATGTGTGTTCACGTACCCACACTCAGTCACATGTGCATCATGAGTTCACATCAAGACATGGTGTTTCATGCCTATGCACGCTCAGCCACACACGTGCTATGAATCCATACCAGCGCACAGTGCTTCACGCGTGTGCACACGCATTTGGCAGGCTGTGCCGGCCTGTCCCCGTGGAGTGTGAGGGCTGGGCGAGGCAGGGTCTCTGCTGGTGCTGCCCGCAGGGGTGGGGGATGTGGGGCAGGAGTTGCTCCTGGGGGTCGACAGAATCGCTCCATGGCGCTGCCCTCTGTCTCCGTGTGGTGCCGGGGACAGTGGCCAGCAGGGGACAGGTCAGCAGAGGTGCTGAGGGTCTCTGAGCATGAGGTGAGACCCGGAGGCCGGTGCGGGCAGTGGGCACTGCAGCCCCGGGTGCCCTCTCATCACCGAGCCTTAGTGCGGGGGACACTGGTCACTTCTCTCAGGCACACGCTGGCCCCGGATGCCCTGTCCAGGGCTGTGGGCGCCAGGCAGCGTCTCCACTGGACTCTGGCCTGGGAGTCGCCACCTGTCAGCCCCCTGCACTTCTGAGAGGAAGGCGAGTTCGCACCCGCCGCTCCCGGGCGTGTGCCGGACAGGATAGACGGCAGCGGCCAGAGGACACTGAGCAGAGTTCGGCTCCCGGCCAGTCCCGGGCTGCAGAAATCCACAGCCGCCCGGGCGGACCAGCACCGACCCTGCCCTGTGACCCCTCTGGAGTCGAAGACGCTCAGGCCGAGGCTCGTTCCTCTTCAGGGAGGTTGGGGGTCTCGGCGTCCCCTTCCAGCTGCTGGGCAGTCGGCAGCGTGTCCAGGAACCCCCCAGCCCAGTGCGGTGACCGTCCCCCGCAGCCACAGTCACTCGAGCCCACGGAGAGAGACACGCCAGCACCAGCAACTGAAGGGGTGGCGGCCACTCGCCCAACAGGACAAGGGGCGTGGACGTCCTGCCGGGCCAGCTCTGGTCTCGCCCATCCTCCCGGGAGGTGGCCAGGGCCCCCGCAGCCATGTGCTGAGCCGGTTCCACGGATGGCTTGTGTGGGCCGCACGCTCTGTGTGTGTGCGTGTGTTCTCGTGCTCACACATGCCCATGAGCGTGTCCGTGGCACGCCGTCCCCACTGTCCTCCCGCTGCTCCTGGGCCCATCACGGCTCGTGTCAGGGGCCCCGTGTTTGTGTTGCTCCCAGTCCCGCTTGTCGGAGCTGCTCGCGGCACATGCTGGGTGAGGGGCCTGGAGGAGCTACCCAGCTGGAGGTTCAGGCTGTCCGGGGGCCTTTGCCCCTCCCCAGTGGCCCCGCGGCCGCCCCTGCTGGCCATGCACTGACCTGGCCACAAGGGGGATAGCAGGCCCCCGGGACCACCCCCATGGCAGCAAGGGGCGAGGCCGGGGCCCCTGGGTGAGGGCTGCCAGCCCAGCCAGAGCCCGCCCAGGTCCCCGGGGAACCAGCCCTCTGCTGGTGGTCACTTGCCCTCGCCGTGGTCAGCAGGGACGGCAGTTGTCAGCCCCCAGAGGCCAAGTGCCGATGTTGCCGGTGGCAGGTGGCGGGCGCCTGGCTCCAGCTCCTATGCCAGGACAGCGCCGAGTGCCAGTGTGGGCCCGGCACAGTCGCACTCCTGGGCGCGGCCTCTGACCCTCTGCCCTGCCCCACAGCCTCTTTCTGGACCAGTCCCGAGCCAGCCTGGTGGACGCCGTGTGGCAGCTGCTGCGGCCAGGGGTGAGTGTGTGCGGGTCAGAGGGTCCGTGCAGGCCAGGGAGGGGTGAGGCGCAGGCCCCACGCAACCCGGTCCACCTTCCGCCGGCCCTTTTGTCTGCTCCAGGGCGCCCATCTGTGCAGGCCCGACGTGGATGTGGGGCGGCCCCAGGCCGGGCGGGACCGTCTTTCCCTCCAGTTTGTTCCTGGGCAGGAGATGGGCCGGGAGGTGGTACCCACACACCGCACCCTCCAGCCCGCCACCAGCGGTGTCCACCTGCACACCCACCTGTGCCCGGGAGGAGATCACAGGGCTCGCGCCCGCTCTGGGCTAGTGCTCGGAGCGCAGGGTCCTGTGGCCTCGGCGGAGAGCTCACGGCGTCTGTTCAGAGTCAGAAACGGAGCGGGAGCTCTTGAGCATCTGGAGTGAGTCGGCGGTGCTATGGGATTTACGGGTGTGGACATCATCGCAGCGTCCTGTGGCCTGCCGGGCTCCTGCCCGTGTGCCCACTCTCGCCCTCTCCCTCCCCGGTGCCTTTCGACAAGGCAGGTGTGGGGCCAGAGCGACACACGACAATCCCCAGCATCCCGCCTGTGTGCCGAGCACTGCCAGGTGTGACCCCGACAAATAGGTACACAGCAGGCACCGTGTGGGCGGGAGCGGGGGTCCACAACCAGCATCACACACGCCCATGAACCACGACCCTCGGGCTGGGCCCCTGCCCCACCCCACCATGCTACCCCTCGCTGCAGGCAGGGGAGAGACGGCTGAGAGCTGCCCCCCACGCGGGTGCTTGTCCCGCAGAAGGGCCAGAGCAGCTGGCCTCTTGCTCTCCCTTGATCCTCCGGGGACGGCTCAGAGCTGGGACGGGCACCAGCGACGTGAGGGGACCCAGTCCCTGTGGGCCCATGCTGCGGAATGGGCGCGGGCACAGAGCCCAGCGCCCACACGGGGGTCCGCGAAGGAGCAAGGGGGAGGGGCCGTGCTGACCGGGACGCGCAGGGCTGCGGGCGGGCGTGCGGGCGGGCAGCCCCAGGCTCACACGAGGCTGAAGAGTCGTGAGGGACACAAGTGAGCCTGAGCATGTGGGCTACAAGCACACGTGTGCACAGGACAGCTTGTGTGAGTGTGTACTGGAGCAGCCTAAACTGAGCATGCGTGTGTCCTTGTGTGAGCTGGGAGGGCACGTGAGCACGTGCACAGACCATGTGTGTGAGGCACATGAGTGTGTGCTTGGAGCTCGTGTGTGAGGGCACATGAGCGTGTACACGGTGCATGTGTATGAGAACATGTGTACGGAGCGTGTAAGTGTGTGCATGGAGCGTGTGCACGGAGCATGTGTGTGAGGGCATGTGAGCGTGTACTTGGTGCGTGTGTCTGAGAACATGTGCATGGACATGTAAGCATGTGCACGGAGCCTTGTGAGAGCGTGTGCATGGAAAGCTGAGGACACGTGATTGGGCGTGGGCTGGGGCAGGGCGGGTGCGTGTGCGCGTCCAGGCTGACACCCTGGGCCAGTGCCGGGCGCCCTGTTCAGAAGGTATAAACAAGCCACAGAGTCCAGGGGACAGACAGGGCAGGGCCGGGTGTGGAGAGCTGGGAGGAGGAGCTGGGGCCACCTTGGCCCAGCTGGGCTGGACACGGGGCCGCAGGACCATTGCCAGGTGGGCCGACGGTGCTGCCGTGCGGGAGAGGAGACCGCCCGGCACACACCCGGCCTGGACCGTGTCCTGTGTGAGGGTCCCTCTCTCCTTCCCAGGGATGCGTCCACCTGCTGTCCGTCCCCCCAGAGCTTGGCCTGTGCTTCGGCAGTCAGTGGCGAGTGCCCGGACAGGGCTTGGGGCCTGGAGTGAGGCTCCAGGGGCACAGCCAGGAACTGTCCGGCTTGGGTGCACGCGGGGGAGGCCGGAGACCCCCTGACATGCCTGGATGGGAGCTCCTCAGGCTGATGTGCAGGGCTGCGGCCCAGGACAGGGGAGCTTCTGCTCGCGAGACCTGTTGGTCACTCTCCCGCCTGGTGCGGTAGCTGGAGAAGGACAGCGAGGCGCCAGCCTGGAAGAGGGGCCCGGACAGGGCCGGCCAGACGGGAGTGTGAGCTGGGAGGCCAGGCCCGGACACTGAGCCCTCGGGGTCACGGAAGGGCACGTCACCCACGGCAGGTCAGGCTCTGGGCCTCCAGCCGCCCATGAGTGGACGCTGCTTCCCTGAGGAGACCCGGCACCAGACCCTCTGTCCCACCTGAACGAGAGATGGTGGCCAGAGCATGGTGGCCGGCCTGAGCGGTCACTGCTGCTCGTGTCCTCTCTGGGCACGGAAATCCACCTCCACGCTCACCATTACCCTCACCTCCCCCCAACGCGAGTGTCACCACGGCCACCAACACTGTGAGACACTGTCCACCCTCATGTCCAGCACTGAGTTGGCCAGCGGTTGAGCTTGCACCAAAGCCGCACTGATGACCCTGCTCTGCCCTGTGGGCACCCCCAACCCCCTGCAGCGTCTGACACCAGGGGCGCCTCAGTGAGCCATCGGAAGGTCCCGCAGTGCCTGGCCCCGAGCGGCTTGGCCAGTCAAACGGCACATGAAAGCAACATGTGCTGCCTTGATGCCGCCTGGCCTGTTGCGGCTGGGGGGTGACGTGGACGCCCACCGCAGACCGTCAGGGGACGGGCATCACGAGTTGGCGGGGGAGAGGGGCACCTGCCCAGCCTCCTCCCGAGGCCCACAGTCCCGGGCCCCGTTTCTCCAGGACAGTGAGCGGTGCTGGGTGTGTGCCACCCCCTGCAGGGCGGCCCCCAGCCGGGCACGCGCTGGCACTGGGCCCTGCGGGGGAGGGGGGCGGCCTCCAGGCCAGCCGAGAGCACGTGTTTCTGGAAAGCTTCGGGGCCCGTTCATTTGTCACGGGTGGTGCCCGAGGCAGCACGGGGCCCTGGGAACCGACAGCTTCTCTGTCCGTCTGGCTGGCTGGCTCTGCTGAGCGTGAGGGTCCGTGTGTGTGTGTGAGACCGGGGGTGGGGGTCTGCTCTCCCCACACTGTGTGCGTCTCCTTCCAGGGACAGGCGGTGGTGTGTGCCCCGCGCCGGGGGCAGACGCTGAGCCAGTTTTGCTGTCTGGCCGAACAGGCTGGTTTCTCCCTGCAATGCCATGAGAACTACGATGAGCACGTCTCGCGCCTGCATGCCAAGGTCAGTCTCCTGCCTGCGCAGAGAACGCTCACCAGGGTCTTTCTGGCGGGTGACCGAAGGGTCTGAGAAAAGTGGCCTCAGGGGCGCCGCGGGCGGCCACCCCGTGTCCGTGCTCGTGGCCGAGCTCGGCGCGCCCGGCTGGGAGGGCTTCGCGGAGACCAGCCCCGCGTGTGCTCCCGAATCAGCTGATCTTTCCCTTCGGAACAGACTCATTTGTCGGATGCAGGGGAGGTGGCGGAGAATGAAATGATAAACAAGCATTTCTATTTTAATGAAAAACCTTTGGCTTTTGGGTGGGTTAACTGCTAGCTGCCCCCAGATAACTGCAAGGTGAGTCTAATTGTCTCCTGTGGGACTGTAAATCTTTATCTCTGCTGGTTCCTTGCCGGGGTCACCTGGCAGCTGGAGACTGCTAAATCCCGCACAGAATCACACCGTTCGGGGTGATGTGTCAGATCGGGCGCTACAAGATTTAGGTCAGAAGCACTTATCCGAGAGTGATTTGTGAGCTTGCTTACATCAGGCGATGCTATCGGCCTCTGTATTATTTATGGGGAGAGACGTCTCCAGCCCACACACAGCCCGTGGGTGCACGCGCGCTGCCCTCCGAGGGGGAGGCCCCCACCCCGGGGTGTCGCCTCTCCTCTCCGAGTGGGGGCTGGAGCCCGGGGCTCTGGGAGAAGGTGCGTCCTTGGGCCCCGGGTGTTCACACCCCATGCACAATCCAGGAGGAAAGCAGGAAGTCGAAGGGCTGGGGGTCAGTGAGCTTCCCTGAGCCGTCCCCGATGCTCTGGGTCTGCACAGGGGCCCTCACGTTCCACCAGCACGGGCTCGGCGGCTCGGCCAGACCCCAGGTGTGAGTCTGAGGGCTCCCCTGTGTCCGTGCATGGGCAGCAGGCAGAGGGGGTGCCCTGGCTGGGAACTCCTCTCCCCGCCCTGCAGAGATGGGTCCCCCGTCCACCCGCTGAGCCTGGCACTGGCCCGAGAGAGGCTTGGGCCATCCCGGGTGGTGCCAGCCCGTGGGCACAGCCGACTCTCCGGGACTCGGGTCCCGGCTGACGCCCGGCCGGGGCTCCTGGAGTGGCCCTGGCCGTGGTCGCATCTCGTCCCTCGCGGCCACCCCTGCCCCCCGCGTGGGGCGGGCGCCCAGCTGCAGGCTGCGTGGCGCGATAATGCGGCCGCCGGCCTAATCTTGTTACACAAATGCTGGAGAGTCATGAATTTTAATCCCCTCCACATCCCGCCGCACTCCTCGGCCGCCCCCCTCGGCCGCGGCAGGGGAAATGAGTTTCGGCTTGGCAGAGGGGCAGGAGGAAACCCCAAGACCGAGGCAGCCGCCCGTGAAGCTGATTAACACCATCAGGACCCGGCGCTGCCGCTTCAACTTTTCACCTCTCCTTGGTAGCCGAGGATTGGATTCCCGGAGAAAGAGCAGCCTGGAGCCAAGGCAGCCCCGCGCTCCCGGTGCCCGTCTCCTGTGCCCGCCTCTCCCCGTGCCCGCTCTTTCTCCCTGTGCCCTTACTCTCCCGTTCACTATTCCCACCTGCTCCCTGTGCCCACTCCCTGCCCACATGTCCTGCTCGGCCACCCAGTGTCCGTTGAGTGGCCCCCGTGGGGGTGCTGGTGACCTCATGTCCCAGGCATGAGAGGGGACAGACTGCCTCCCGTGCGGGGGTTCACTGCCAGCAGAGCCGCTGCCCGCCAGTGCCCGCTGAGTCCCCTCGGTGCCCTCGAGGGTCACTGAGTTGCTTTTTCATTTTGTTTTCGCTTGGGAGACACACCCAGCAGTGCTCAGGGCTGACTCCTGGCTCTGTGCTCAGGGCTGACTCCCGGCTCTGTGCTCAGGGCTGACTCCCGGCTCTGTGGCTCAGGGCTCACTCCTGGCTCTGAGCTCAGGGCTGACTCCCGGCTCTGTGCTCAGGGCTGACTCCCGGCTCTGTGTTCGGGGCTCAATCCTGGCTCTGTGCTTGGGGCTCACTCCTTGGCAGGGCCTGGGAGCCAAACCGGAGCCAGTGGCGTGCTGGGCAGCGTCCGGCGCGAACTGTCTCTCCAGCCCCCGAGTTGCTTTTCTGGGTTGGTCTCCCCAGGACTGTCGGGTCGTCAGCACAGACGCGGGAGCCTTCCCCCAGGCTCCTTACCGTGTTCTGCTGTTTGCAGCTGAAGGAAGAAAGGCCGGATGTCTACGAGGAGAACCTCCACTATCCGCTCCTCCTCCTCCTCACCAAGCGTGGCCGAGCGGACTGAGCCTGGGGACATGCCTCAGGGACATGCTGTCCACGTCCCGCCTCCCGCTGCCGCCCAGCGCTGGCCCTGCCGAGCCCACGTCTCCGAGGGCAGCTCCTGCCCCTCTCCCGACCCGTGTCTTTGTTCTGTTCTGGGGGGTCCGTCCGCCTCGCCCAACCGCGGGCCGGAAAGCAATAAAGCTTCTCTTCCCAACTCCCCGGAATCGAATCAATTGTGCCAAAGTCGCCGCCTCCTCCGTCTCTGCCCGCTTTCACGGGCCTGTCTGCCCAGCCTCCTGCACTGACCGTCTGTGCCGGACACAATGGCCGGCGGCCTCGGCCCCTCCTCCCCAATTATGTGCGATTAGTCTCAATGCGTGGTGTCAAGGAGCAGGAGTGCGCGCTATGCTTATTATCTGTTTAGGGGGATCTGGGCGGCGCCGGGAGCCCATGGGGGCTCGGCGAGGGGGAGGTGGCCTCCCGGGCCCTCCAGGAACCGGGGGTGGCGGGCAGCACCTCGCCCGCTGCCCGGCCACGCCTCAGCAGGTGGGAGCCTTCGCCCACTGGGCTGGGGCTGGCACCGGGAGCTGGGAGCTCTGCGGGCGTCCATGGTCCTGCGGGCGGTGCCCCTGCCGGGCTGCGCTGCCCCTGCCCAGGAGAGCACCGACGGGGGGTGACGCGCAGGGCACGGCGGTTAGATCACACATCTCTTGCTCACAAACACTTGGATTGCGATGCCAAGTGATGGGCTAACATCACAATCACGGCAATTTGTTCCTCTCTGGCTGGCACAGCGTCTGCGCCGGAACTGGGCAAGCAAACCGGCACTTGCCGGGCCCAGCCAGGCCGCCGCCTGACCGGGGCCTCCTGCCTGACGCTCAGGGTGGTGGTCGGGTCATCAGCCCGGAGGAGCAGGGTGGCAGACGTGGCCTCCTCAGCCCAGCGCCTGAGCGAGACAAAGAAGCAAAACTGCGGCTGCATCTCTGCCCGCCTGGCGGGGCCCACGCCCGCAGATCTTGCTCTGGAGAGAGCCAAGCGCGAGCGTGGAGGCCGTGCCGCGCCTCCGTGGCAGCTGCAGCTCCAAGAACGGATGGTGTAGACACAGGGAGGGGGTCAGGTCATGGCTGGTGTAGACCCGGGGTGAGGTTGGGTGTAGACCCAGGGTCATGGCTGGTGTAGACCCGGAGTGATGGTGGATATGGACCCAGGGGTGAGGGCGGGTGTAGACCCGGGGTGATGGTGGGTGTGGACCCGGGGTGAGGGTGGGTGTAGACCCGGGGTCATGGCTGGTGTAGACCCGGGGTGATGGTGGGTATGGACCCAAGGGTGATGGCGGGTGTAGACCGGGGGTGATGGTGGGTGTGGACCTGGGGTGAGGGCAGGTGTGGACCCGGGGTGAGGGCGGTTGTAGATCTGGGGTCATGGCTGGTGTAGACATGGGGGTCAGGGCAAGTATAGACCCAAGGTGATGGCAAGTGTGGACCCAGGGTGAGGGCGGGTATAGACCCGGGGTGTAGACCCGGGGTGATGGTGGGTATGGACCCAGGGGTGATGGCGGGTGTAGACCGGGGATGATGGTGGGTGTGGACCCGGGGTGAGGGTGGGTGTAGACCCCGGGTCATGGCTGGTGTAGACATGGGGGTGAGGGCGAGTACAGACCCAAGGTGATGGCGAGTGTGGACTTGAGGTGAGGGCAGGTGTGGACCGGGGGTGACTGATCCCTCCAGCGCCGCAGGCCTGCCCATGCTCTGGCTCTCCCTGCAGGTGGGGAAGCACGAGTGTTTGTTGATCGCTGAGCTGAGCTGAGGGAGGGAGCTCGTCTCCTGTTTCCCCCAGGCTCGGTTTGGTCCGTGCTGTGGAGCCCTCCGCGAGCTCGTCTCCCGTCTGCCCCCGGCCAGCCCCGGCGCCATGTATCATGGGAGGGGCTGTCCCGCCGCGTGGGCTGAGGCCTGGGCCCACAGACCTGCAGACGCACGGGTCCCAGCCGGCCGCTGCACGGGCTGAGCGGGAGACGCGGTTCCCGGCGGCAGCCGCGCTCTGGGCTGATGTGTGGACCCAGGGGTGGTCCTGGGTGCGGGCGCCACACCGAGGCCCTGCCAGCCGCCCTGGCCGCCGCTGGCCCACCCTCGCTGCAGGTGCTGCTGGTCAGTTCTGGGTGGACGGGGCAGGACGCAGGGAGCCAGGCCCACAGCTAGGAGGGGCCCCTGCGCCCACTCCCAGACTCAGAGAAGGCCGGGGCTCCTCCCTGGGCTGCTCACAGCAGGACGCTCAGGCTAGCCTGGCAGGGCCGCAGGTGCCCTCCATGGCAGGGAGGCTGGCACACCCGACCTGCAGCCAGGACCCCAACACCAAGGGCGCGTCCATGGACTTCCTGCCTCTGCCTCCCCGCAGCTGCCCTCCCTGCCACCTGGGCCTCCACCCTCAGTCCCCACCCTCGGCCTCAGCCCTCAGTTCCTGCCCTCTGCCTCCTCCCTCTGTCCCCACCCCAGGCCTCCGCCCTCTGTCTGCCCTGGGCCTCCGCCCTCAGTCCCCGCCCTCAGCCTCAGCTCTTAGTTCCTGCCCTCGGCCGCCGCCCTCTGTCCCCACCCCAGGCCTCCGCCCTCTGTCTCTGCCTTCTGTTCGGGGGTCGGGGAAGAGCATCTGAATCTAGTCGGCCGTTTGGGCCCCCAACGTCCCAGTGGAGGCGTTTTTTTGGTCGATCAAGCAGATCTGCCCGTGACTTCCGAAATGGCAGCCAGCCGTAGGCAGAGCGTGATGAAAAGGCTAATGGGGAAGCGGAGGGAAGGGCCGGGCCGGCTCTCGGCCGAGCCTGCTGGAAACTGCAAGTGAAGATGGCTTCAGCACTGCAGACTGGAGAAGAAAATGGTTTTTAATTAGCACCTTCCTAAGAACTGCTGATTAATACTGTTTTGTTGGGTGAAAAGCTTTCAGCTGAGTAATTTGTGCAACCATTACAACAGTTTTGTTAGCGTAGCACTCCTGTTGTCAAACACGAGCGGTGGATGATAATGGTGCGAGATGAGTTTGTCATGTAACAATTTACCTTATTGAAAAAAGCTTTATGTAAAACCCAGTGCAGTAGGGACCAGCAGAAATCACATATTTTAAATCCTTCCAAAATTGCAGTGCGCTCTGCGCGTGTGTTTTTTTTTTTACCCCCCCCCCCCAGGGACTAGACGCAGGTTTCGTATCATTTATAAAATTATATACACAATTTAGAGGTGGCATGAAGGGCCGGTTTGCGCAGAAGCCTAGCGTGGCCGCACATGCAAACCCATCTCAGCCGCTAGAGCCGGCTGGAAAATGGGCCCTAATTAAATAACGCTGCTCAGATGTCTCCTCTTCGGGCTGCAGGAAGGAAGGCAGGACTGCCGCTTGCCTTGTTGTTTCGTTCATGTGTTTCTTAAAATCTTAAAAAAAGAAAAAAATCACCGGCGGGAACACCACCACCTTCCCGTCTCGAGGGAGCTTAATTACACCTCTTCTTTTGCTCTTCCCTTGTTCGAGAGACATTTCAAGGGCTCGGGAGGGTGGGTGCTCCCCCAGCCGCGGCGAGGCAGGTTCCGAAGCCCCCCTTCCCCGCCCGGGTGTGAGCGGACGGGAGCGAGAAGCTTGTTTTCTTCTTAAACGCGAGGCGCTGGTAAAGCATATTTGCATTAAAATATTACACCAGCCAGGGTTGGTAAGGGCTAGGAAATTGCCGGCGTGGCGAGATGGAGCAGGCGGGTTTTCTTCGACAGGCCTTCGGGGTAATAGCCAGGGTGGAGGCTGACGACAGTGCAAATAAGCTTTAGACAGCATAATAGTCGCCAGGAAAGGCGCGCGCTGATGGGGAGGAAGAGCCGGCCACCGCATGCGGCAGAAATCACCAAAGGTCATTTGATGGTGGCAATTGTGACATCAAATTGGTGGTCATGCTACATGCCTAATACCCGCGCAGCTCCCTAAATGGCGGGCCCCTGGCGACGCTGTCATTAAGTGCTTTCACCATAATCAACTTTAAACTGTTGGCTTTATGAGTCCCAGCCGCCTCAGCTGCTCGGGACGGAGCTCGCGGCGAGCCGTGAGTGTGACAGACCGATTAGGAATTGCAACCGTGCTTCAGGTCCACTTGCTCGCTCTCCTGGGGTGATTGCAGCCTATTAGCGGGCTCGGAAGATTTCCTCCAGCAATCTCTGATCAAGAGCTTTTTTGGGCTTTGACCTGCTTTTCCGAGGAGTTTGCTGAGAGCAGAACTCCAGAGGGTTTAGAGGCACTTCTGATTAATGCGTCTCCTCGGCCGCAGGAGAAAGCCGCTTTGTCCCTGGCCGCCGCGCGTCCCGCCCGCCCGGGAGACCCTCCCCGCCAAGGGGCTTTCCGGACCCTCGGCCCCGGGTCAGCGCCAGGCCGACCCGCGGGCCCGGCCCAGGGCACTGGGCGCAGGGGCTGTCCAGCCCTTTCGGGTCACTCTGCCCCCGCCCGGCCCGGCGTCTGCTGGAAGCCAGGGCTCAGCCCGGCCGCGGTGGCCACTGCGGGAGCCCTGCGCAGGGGGGAGGACTGTGGGCTCCTGCCCGTGCACAGCAGAGAGAGGCCGCCAGGACAGTCTGGGGCGAAGGGGATGGACGCAAGGGACACGGCGACCAGGGTGGACGGACATGCAGTCCCTCAGACACCTGCTGGATGCACATGTAGTTTCTGACACCGTGAGCTTATTGTCCCTCCTGACACTGCCCACTGGACACGTGTGTTGTCCCTGCTGACGCTGACCTACTGGACATGTGTACTGTCCCCCCCAACCCTGACCCTGAGCCTCTGGACTCCCTTGGTACCCCCTGCTCCAGAGGCAGCGTGAAGCCAAAGGTGCATCTGGAAGCCCCCACACCCACTGCATCTCACTGAGACAGCCTGCTGCCCCTCCCTGCCTCACCCCTCCCTGTCCTCTCCCTGCCCCTCCCTGCCTCACCCCTCCCTGCCTCACCCCTCCCTGCCCTCTCCCTGCCCCTCCCTGCCACACCCCTCCCTGCCACGCCCCTCCCTGCCTCACCCTCCCTGCCTGCACCCTCTAAAGCCTCTCTCTTGCAATGTCCAGGTGACCCACCCCTCCTGCCTGTGGGCTCACCCCGACCGCACCATCTGTAGTGGGTGGGCACCGGACAGGGGCTGGGGCTGGTCTGAGCTGAGCAGC